GTGATGGAAGGTCAACTTGACAGAATCTAGAATTTTCAAGGAGACAAGTTTCTGGGAATGCCTGTGAGGAATTTCTACATTAGATTAACCACTGGGCATTGTCTAGGTCAGGTTAATTGGGGTGGGAAGATCAACCATACCTGTCACCTGTCAGCAGCACCAGTCCATGGACTTGGTTTCTGGAGTGAATAAAAAATTGAAAGTGGGGGCTGGAGAGATGGCTCAGCGGTTAAGAACACTAAATGTTCTTGCAGAAGACCCGGGTTCGAATCCCAGCACCCACATGGCAGCTAACAACTGTCCATGACTCCAGTTCCAGGGGATCCAACATCTTCTTCTGTCCTCCACGGGCATTGCATGACACGGGTGCACTTACCTACATGCAGGCAATACATGCATACACATAAAAATAATAAAGTATTTAAAAAATTTTTTAAAAAGTTGAAAGTGATCAGAGACCAATATTCATACACATAAAAATAATAAATAAAGTATTTAAAAAAATTTTTTTTAAAAGTTGAAAGTGATCAGAGACCAATATTCATTGCTCTGTTGCCTGACTATGGACACAATGTGAGCAGCAACCCCATATACCTGCCACCATACCTTCCCCATATGATGGGCTTTTCCTTGAATTGTAAGACAGGATAAACCCTTCCTCCTTTAAATTGCTTCGGTCAGGTATTTTGTCCTAGCAATGTGTAAAGTAACTAATATGCTCATTCATAAATTCTTCCAAATGTTTAGACCACACAGACTTTTAAGTTCAAGTTTGTAATGTAAATTCTTGGATCTGTTTCAGAGGCAAGCTGAGAAAAAAAATGAATGTAAGGTGTGCTCAGTTCTGCAAAGTCTTGACGGCACTGAGTTTGGATGAGAAATGTGTTCGAGTTCAGAGTTTCAGAGTCATAGTGCAGGTTGAAGTTCTCCAAGAAAGTCCTCTATTAAATAGGACCTAAATCTTTGAAGGGTCCATGGTCAAATGAGTTTGAGAAAGGCTGCAGCAAAGCAAAATTAGATTCTCTCCCGCAGGACTGTGCACCTCTGGAATATGAGGAGCACCTGGCGTCTCCAGATGTGTAATGACAAGGCTACTGTTTCCCGAGGGAGCTTCACCACGAAACTCTTCCCTCATCTATCAGAACTCTTCCGCAGAATGTACTTTCAGAAATATGGCAGTAATAATATTACAGTATGAATGATTGGCCATGTACTATGTGTCAAACATCAAGACAATCAATTCCATCTAGTATGACTCTCACAATTTGCTAAATTAAACTTTAGTTTCATCTGCATTTTTTTCAGATGAGGAAGTTGAGTTTTCACTAATCAAATTAGTCTGAAAAGGCATATCCAGGATCTGGCATTTAAAAATTAAAAAAAAAGTGTATCATATGCATAACCCCAGATAAAGAGCTTTAAGTTTACTCTTTTATACACAGCTTTGACTATTTGGCACTTCCGATATGCCGGTCACTGTTCACAAGATGTGGTTACTCATGTTAGCATTTCTATTATCAACCAAGGCTCATATGAACAGAATACACTAATTCAAAGCATGTCCAAGTTCCTCACAGGATTTTAGAAATGGTGTGTGTGAGAGCACAGAGATTTGGGGATGTTGAATCACCTGGAGTATTGTTTGTATCCATGTTTTACTTTGCACATTTATCATGGTAAAAAAAAACTTCTCAGCGCTTTTCTCTCACACGTCTACCTTGTTAAGTTTGCAACTGGAGAGGAATTAATTTATGCTAATTCCACACAACAAGCCAAAGCCCATTTATCACCAGTTTCCATTCCTCAGCAAAACACACAAACCAACTCAAGTATTAGGAAAACTGAGATATACAGCTGCAGTGATGTGGAACAATAACAGACTCCTTTATATTCAGGCACAGATGAGCAAGCGGAAGCCAGCCATGGAACACTGAGGGCAGTGCCACTCAGTCTTCCCACTGCTGTGTGCTGTGCTCTGCTTGCCTGCCTCTGAGACATGGCTAAGCATTGCAGAACTAGGAGGTGGAATGCATGGTATGCATTGCAGAACTAGGAGGTGGAATGCATGGTATGCATTCCAGAACTCAAAGTATAGAAGCTAATTTTCTCCAAATAATGTGATAATTAACCAGCAGCATTAACATTGTTTCCTTAAGATTGATGATTCAAGTGTGAATGATATGGAATTGAAAGATTCTGTCTTGAAAAGAGAAGAGAGATGATGGGAGGTAGAAGCAAAGATTAGTGAATCTGCCCCTGTGTCTGTGTGTGCACATGGGAACACGCACATGCATCTATGTGTTTCCCTCATATCAGTGAGATCCATGTCAAGGTAACATCTCATTATTTTCTAGCTATTTCAAATGCCACCCTTTCCAATAAGCTCTGTGTTTTTCGTGGTTGCACCACAATGCTTCTATTCTGATTGGACTAAAGGAGCCTTCAGAGAGGAAATGAGAAGTTAAATTCTTTCTTGCCTCCGACAGGCCTCACCATCTGGGGCCTCCTGGCTCCCATTTGTTCATGGGCAAATTAATGCTTTACATTAGGCTATTTTTAAAATTTTCTTCTTATTCCTTTTATGTGGTGGTAATACTATTATATTACAATAATAGAGAATGAGAGGAGTTATTTTATCTTTTAGAGTTGCAAATGATAAAATTACAAAACGATCTGAGATCCAGTGACTGAAGTTGTAGGGACTGTATTCAAGTTGAGAGATAACAAGGTGGGCAGTCAGATGATGGCGGTATCATCAATCTTTCTGTCTCTATCAACATTTTGTCATCTTTTATCTATGTATGATCATCTCTTCATATTCACATGTACATGTCATCTATGTTTAAGAGTGTATGGTCTAGGAGTCCAACTATTCCCTTTACCTCGTGTCACTTGCATGCTTTCTTCTTTTGCTGTCTATCATCTTAGCCATGATCCACTCATGAGAAATGATGTCTTTTTAAGTTTCTTAGTGATTCACACAGACTGTGTATTAAGAAGTGTGAGTGTGTGTGTGTGTGTGTGTGTGTGTGTGTGTGTCTCAAACTTGTCTTCTTGCTTTCATTGCATAGAGTCCCATATGAAGACATTCAGCACTGAAAGCTTTACTGCTCTTGTCTGCGTGATGGGGATTGACACCTCCTACCTTCCATTTGTTAAAGCTAGCTAAGTTAGAATATCTAGGAAATGGAGAATATTTTCTCCTGCTCTGTCCTCCCAAGAGCACCATGGGGTCTGATGGATATCAGGGCTCTGCCAATGACAGTGAGAACTTCATTTTCTTAGTAAAAATGCAAATCACCCTTGTCCTGTGTATTCTACTACAGTGAGGCTACCCTGTCACCTCTCATGCAAGGATGGACTCTCACTCCGCAAGCACACAGTAGAGAGCAAATATTCAGTGCTGCTAGAAGCTGATTCTCCTACCGCTACTAAGCCAGTTTCCTGAGAAAGCAGCTCTGATTTTTTACTTTCACCAAAACGGTGTGGTTATATGAACTATGTGCTCTAGTTCTAGCTGAGATATAATCTTGCAAAATCAGACAGGGCAGAAGCAACCAAGGGTCTTGTCTGGGATCATCAATATTGCAGTCATTTGCTCTTGAACTTTTCTGCTTGGATGACCAGAGCATCACCCTCTTGGCTCTCAGAGAAAAGTCATAGAAAGGGTGTTAAAGGTCACCTGCATTTCTGGGTATGAGACTTTGCTTAAATTGATAAAAGGTAAAGGTCAGTATCCTGGTTTTCGCAAGGTACATGTGGATTGTTTTGAGATTTGAACTACATACACAAAATGTCAGTTCTTAACATGGTAGAAATTAATTGCAAAGAGTCATTACAAGTACATAAGCCTTGACCTTGAAGTAGAAGGAAATTTCAAGATGTAGGGAGATATTTTGTAGAACTGTACAGTAAGGCAAACTCGGAGAGGGAGTCTCATAGCCAGCTGATGCAGCTGCTCTGCCTGAGAAGGATTTCATGCATTTGAGGGGCTGGGGCTCAGGAACAGGCTGCCATGAATTTCAGAAATTCTGGAGCCCAATGGATGACACATCTCTCCTACCAACATCAGAGTGCTCAACCTTCCCAGGCATCCATTTAACCATCAGTTTCTTGTTTCCAAAAAATGAAAACACATGCCCTGTCTTTCTAGTTCTTCCTCTCACAACTGCCAAGGTAGACGTGGAAGAGGTTGGCTAATTCATAAAAAAATTCCTATTTGTAATTGTACTAGCTATCCCCTGTATTTAATAAGAAAAGCTTGCACAAAGTAAATTAAGACATTGTAATAATAACTAATATATATTGTTACCGATGCGGACCATCCCTAACTTAAAATGTTTGAGATCTTATGATGGTGTGAAAATACACCCTAGCAGCCATTCTGTCTCACCTTCACAACATTAGTTGCTGAATTACATAAAGAATTCTGCATTTGATTATAAAGTAGGCTTTCGGTGGGATATTTTTATCCAACTGTAAGCTAATGTGAATACCTTGAGTACATTGAAGATGGGCTACACTGAGCTGCATTTGGTAACTTACATGTTTGATATTTTCAACTTATAATGTCTTTATCAGGATGTTTGCCCATCTGTAATAGATATTAGTTAATTGTTAATGATAGCAGCAGCAGTAGAATAAAAAGAAATACATATAAAGTGCTTAGTCAGTAGATACATTAACAGTTCTCACAGCTGTCCGGTGAGGTCTGTACTATTATAATCTTGTAGACACAAAGACAGAATCAAAAAATCTGGCTCCAAGACCTGTTTTCTTTGTTCATTGTTCCACTGTAGTGTTTGGACTGGCCAGGTGCAGCACTCTGGGCTAGGACACACTCACATGTGTTCAACAGCTGTGGTACATGCAACTTGCATGTACATCCTACATACAGTGAGTCCTCTTTCTGGGGCTGACTAAGCCTGCGTCCCAGACACCTGAGTCTCCCATGACCCTGCCCAAGTCTCTGCTCATGTCTGTGCTGTTTCCTCCCCCAGCTCCACTGGTGGACCTTACTCCAACTCACAGTGGATCCGCCATGCTGATGTTGCTCTCGGTGGTGTTTGTGGGGTTGGCCGTGTTCGTCATCTACAAGTTTAAAAGGTGCGTGTTTTCCCTTCCACACCTCCCTATCCCTTCTCTCTTTCTGGCAGGTTCAAAAGCATATATCACAGTGATGTGCAGCTCTAGCACAGAGCAGTGATGGTTTCTGTTAATGTTTTAGGAAGATCCCGGGGATTAATGTTTATGCCCAGATGCAGAATGAGAAAGAACAAGAGATGATCAGTCCAGTCAGTCACACTGAAAGCAGGCCCAGTATCCCTCACACTGAACTCAGAAGGACTGGCCAGCTTATAGATGAGAAGGTGGAATCACAGCTCATAGGTAAATGATGCCCAGCAGCCATCAGCTGCCCAGGCTGAGTAGTCAGTGGCTGATTCCCCCTCTAACCCTTTTCTGGCTTCATATAACCACTTTCTTCTGCTCTAACACTGCTAAGGGAAATAGTCAAGATGTTTCTTCCTTGTTTTTTCTAGCTATTTTTCTCTCATTAATTTTTCCCCATTTTGCAAAAATCTTTCCTAAAACACTAAGCTTCAAATGTTTATGAGCAACGAGCATAGTATTTTCACTAATAATATTGAAGAATGGGAAGTCTCAGAGACTGGGGGTGGTGGGTGGGTGGTTATGTAATACAAAGGTACGTACTCACCTGAACAAAACATGACTCTCTACTACAGACAACTCTGAGGAGAACAAATTGCTCCGGAAGACTTGAAGAGTGAGGCATAATGAGACTGGCTAGCCTGACAACTTGGGGGAATTTGTTTTGTTTTTTGTTTTTCATTTTTGCTTTTTAAATCTAGTAGCTATCTAGAATCTACCCCACCCCCACCGGGAAGTTTGGAAGCTGAGAACTTGAGGGCATAAAGTTAGCAGAGCATCCAGGACATGAGCAGCCGAGATGAACAGTAGAGTTAGGTTATGAAAGAGCAGATCCATGGGCAGATGTCTTTCTCTTTCTTGACTACAAGTTTTGGCATCATCTTCAGTGCAGCTCTCTCTCTGTGAAGTGGGCATGGGAGATCCTGGTCCAGTGAGGCTGACGCTAAGTTGCTAAATCCTACTATCTATTTCAGAAGAAATTTTCCAGGAATTTAGACAAACCCATGGAGCCCACATTGCTGATCCATTTCTCTCCTCGGGTCCTCCTGTCTGTGGCCTCAGGAGTTGAAGCTGTTCACATCTCAGTCCTGTATTGCTGACTATGATGGAGAAATTCCATAACACTTCATGCTTCCCTCTAATGCTGTAATGCCAGATCACCTAGAAGGCCTTTAGACAAGATTTTTAATCTGTTACTTGGAAAGATAAAAGTTTGCAAACGGGAACAGACGCTTCTGTTTAACTGGGTCTGAGAAAGGTCTGTGGCTGTATTAGGGGGAATTTAAATGCCAATAGTGCATGAGTCAGAGATTACAGTAACAACTGCAGCCACATCTGGTTTTCAATTTTCACTGCATTTCCTTTCATTTGGTGGAGAAAGGTGATAAAAAGATACAATAGCTTTGGATTAAAAAGGACAGAGGCTTCTCTGTCTTCTGTCCAGAGAAATGTGCACTCTTGCCTATTCACTTCTAAAGCATCTAAAGTGCTGCTTTATTTAGGGCATCTTTTGCCTCTTGGTCCATTTCTATGTGCTATAAAACATGGTGGCTGTTTATTATAGCAGCAGTTCCTCCTTCACCAGGAATAGCTATAGCGTATTGCAAAGACTCTGACACCTTTCCATTTCCAGTGTCATTAAATGAGTAAGTGTTACACGTTTTCTCTTAGGAGAGTAGCTTTACCCTCCCCTCCCTCCCCTTCTACTCAACCTGGTGACTCATCTCTCCGATTGCAAAGACCAAGACACATCACTCCACCTTCAACGCCAAAGCGGGGATCTGCTGGGGCACAATTTGCAATTTAAGGAAAACCCCCAAAGGCTACAGGAGACCTGCTGATCAGGAAAGAATTTCGCTCTTGTGAAGTGCATCATCCTTCATGACCACTAACTACTTGTTTTTTCCTTTCTTCTGTTGTTCTGTTTTCCTGTTTTGCCAGGAAGTATTTCCATAGTTGCTGAGAATCAAAGCACAAAAGAAAGCCCTACCTATGTAAATGTTTGAGTGGAGGACGCCAGTAAACACAACAAAATAACATAGAAACAATCAGAATTCAAACAAACACTCACTGCATCGGGACTTTTAAATTCTTCAGACACAGTCAACAAGGGTTTTTAGCTTTAAGCCTGTGCATGTGGACAGTAACTTGAGAACACGTTTGGAGGGGCAGTGTACAGGTGCTCTATTTTAATGGAAAACACGCTCCTCCCCTTTCTTCTCTTTTTTCTGATCAATCATGTTTGTAGAATATTCATAACATATATAGGCCAAGGAAATCTGCATGGATTTTTTGAAATACTCTTGGCTCTAGATTTAAATAAAGCTCTTTTAGCTCTATGGGCTGATGGGTGGATTAGCCATCCCAAGCCTTTTCATAGGACACAAAGACATGCACAGGAGTTTGAAACCCTGAGCTGTTTCTCTGTTCTAGTTGTCATTTTTCCCTTCTAAGTTAGAGTTAGTGGCTCTGTGGGTAAGCAGTGACCACAGACTGCTTTCCATCCATGGTCTGTAGCCGCAGGAACAAAGATGCAAGTTAAAGACACATGTACGCAAGTCCAACAGGTAAACAAGGGAGGTAGGGAAGTGAGGACCTTGGTTTCCTCTTCAACTTTTGTCCTTGCACCTTTCCCTACTCTGCCCCAACTAATGTAAGAAGTGGAATTTTCCAGTAGTTTCCCATCATCCCACCTCTCCGTTTGCTTACATCATATTCTCAGAATGTCCTTCAGTTTGTTTTCCTTCGAATCCCTGTTATTCTTCAATGGCTCTCAACTTTTTTTCTCAAAATATTTTGCTATTTGGATAATAAACCTGATATTAAACTGGCCTTAATCTGGCCTAGGCCCTGCCAACCCTGAACACTCAGTCCTGTGTCTACATCTCTGTCAGTTTTGTACACCCCCACGCATGCCAGTTTCCACATGCACTGGCCACACTGCATTCTGCCCAGTGGGCTTCAATTTTATCCCCCCATGCCCACCTCCACCTCCACCTCCACCCTGTCTCCTCCAGAACCTTCCTTTGCCAAATACTTGTGTCTTTTCCCACCTGGAAACATGCAGTGTGTGTGTGAGTTGATATATGCAAAGCAATCTAAACCTGGCCATGTACTTTTTGGAAAAGAAAGCACTCAGATGAAATAGTGGTATTTGAACATTTACACACAAACACACACACACACACACACACACACACACACAAAACCCTTTAGTATGGTCAAATTCTAGGAGATTCTTGTGAGAAATGTTCTGAATGTGTGACTATACTCCAGGGTAATATCATCTATGATAATTGCTGTTACCTGATATTTCCTCTCTAAAATAACAATATTTGTAAAATAAAACTTATTTTTAACCAGAAGGAGAAGCAGATTAATGGATTTAATGTATAGGATGATTGGGAAACATGATGAACTAGGTCTTCTTTTGTATTTGGAAGAGATTTTGATCTTTTAAAACAGTCTCAGTGATTTCATGTGTGCTCTCTGATCTGTGAGTATCATGGAAACGCATAATAAGTCAGAGCTAGCTGATTGTAGCAAAGTAAGGCTCAGAATCCTCAGATCCTCAAAGCATAAAGAAAGCATAAAGTTCCCCTAGGGCAGCCATGAAAATGGCTCAGAGAAAGAAACAACCCCTGTCCCCTGCCGATACCCAGTCGGTGTGTCTGAAGCCCCTTCATTACCTTGGACTAGACAATGCCCACTCTCAAGTTGGGATGAAAGCTGTTCTGATAAACCACCTGGAGATTCCAGTCTGTGTCTCCAAGCCAACAACAGGGGGCTGGTGATCATCCTAATGATCAGGATGATCGCTGCCCCATGTGGCTCATGCAAGGGAAGAGTAGGGAAGCTGTACTTTTAGAAGTTAGTCAAGCAGAAAGCTGTATGGTAGAGGATGCCCCGTGTGAATTTGGGCAGTAAATTATGCCTGGGGATATAATCAGTTGATTCCCAACCTGCCAGGCTTCCTATCTCATAGGAAACATTCTCATTGATTTTCTTCAGTTGGAGTCTTCCAAATTTATTCTGGAAGACAAAGGATTTAGAAACCAAAAGAGGTTCCTTCAAAGGAGACAGGGAATTCTCAGAGTTGCAGTTCCATTCATGCTAATTAGAAAATTATTATTTTAAAAAGGAAGAACACTCTTGACCTAGCACAGTGCCTTGCCTAGGGTAGCATTGTGAACATAATTTGTCAGTGAAAAAACTGAATGAAGGCATGCAGGGAAGACGAACTGTAAGTCTTCATTTAAAATAGGGACGAACACGAGGTGCCTGGCCAGTGTACCAGCCTCAGGTTCAGCATCTCTAGCGTCCTCATGTGCCTCTCCTCAAAGCTCTCACCCACCTGTAGGTGATTAGCAAGGCAAGATACTGCTCAGAGGGGACGCCGTAGTTCCTGCAACCATGGCCAATGGCTCTCAAAGTGTAGTACCCAAGACAACAGTGTCAATGTAGCTTAGACTTGTTTGAAATGCAGATTCTGGGCCCATGCTCTAGGCCTACAGTTCTGGAAATCAATAATGTTGTTTCCTATCACTGGTTGAGAGTGGACCCAACAATCTGTTTCAACAAGTCAATCAGGCTATTATAAAATACATTAAAGTTTGGGAATTACCATGCAAGTTCATTCAGCTAAATCCCAAAGAGAAGGTAGTAACCAGAACCTACAAATGGGAGGGATGCAAGTGTGTACCTCTCCTAACAGCAGGTGCCCGCACAATGAGGTGTTTGGTGGGCTTAAGGCCAGAGGAGTGTGGGGAGGGATACATGTGGGAGGTAAGATTCAGGACAAGCTGAAAATCAGATACTGCATTTCTTAAAACCTCAGCAGGCAAACTGTGCTCTACCCTGAACTACCCAACCAATATTTTTGTCCCTTGCCCTATTCCAAATTGAATCCACACTCCAAAATGCAGAGGTTTGCGTTGCTTTTCTTCAGAAGTTCCATACAGCAACTTTGAGAGCAGTGGGGTACTTGGCAGCTCTTCTCTGTTTTCCAGGATTCCAACTGAGCGTTGAAACCCCTCATTTGCCAACTTATTTTTATAGGAAGCCAATTTAAAAAAACAAAGAAAGTTTTCTTATAGTATTGGAACTACTTCTAATTTTAAAATGACTTTTTGATGTATTTTTTTGTTAAATACTATGTAGTGTAATGAATAATTACTCTTGTTTATTGCTTTTACAATCATATTTATTAAACAGATAATGTCTCTAAAGTCTTTGTCTCAATGTGTTTATTTAATCCGAAAATACATGGTCTATGTTTTCAAACATGGTGAATTTTCAGGACTTCATAAAGGCTAATTGCATGAGAATACTTAACTCTATGGGTTTAACTTTTTCACTCACAAAATAGACTGTGTTCTCTTACCTAAATTCCATTTTTTTCTGCAACACCTGTCACTATTAAAGTACAATATGCAGCCTAAAATCCATTCTAAAATGGTTCCTTTGTAATGAGTAATATGTTCATTTTTATTCAATTAAAATTTTAGAGTATTAATAGCGAACAAGACATTCAGATTTGTCCAGAACTCCATACCTCATAGTTACCAAAGAACCAAACTTGGATGCAGTGAATGAGCTGGAACTTGGGGATTGCTAAGAGCACCTAGCTGGGAATAGAAACAGCTTTAGACATGGAACTGCAAAAAGGACTTTTATTTCTGGCTATGCCAGCCGCGTGACCTTCAGCAAATTGCTTTAACATGCACAAACTGCAGTGTCTCCATGCATATAAGGAGGAAGATGACCCCTTCCAGCTTGAACATTCTCAGTGAGTTAGTCAGTCCCAAAAGATCCAAATAGATGCTTTAAATTTAGTAGAAAATAAAGAAGTGGACTAGATTCAGTATGTCCAGCCATGAGTTTGGCTTCATGAATGGGATTTCACTGGGCACATGTTAATCTTTATACTGGGTCTGCAGACACTAAGCCCTCCATCACTTTCTTAAAGGTGTATCAGGATCAGAATGCTGCTGCTAATTAACCCAGTTTCAGCAGGCATAAGAATTCTGGCTATTTTTAGACGGCCTTTAACCCCACAAATTAAGTCCTCTGATTCTTCATTCCCTTCCAGACCAGATTATGTATTGTTCTGTCCCATCAGGAGCAGTCTATCCCTTAGTCAGTCAGAGTGGAGTCAGGCAAAGAGAAAATTCCCAGAGATATTTTATACAGAAATGATGTAATTCAGGGAATTTGTTGCTGAAATAACAGAAGAGCCAGCCTGCTAAGAGCAAATAAAGCACTTGAGGAAGCTTCTAATTTCCTGGACCTGGAGGAACACAGGTGTTGTCAGAGTCCTCGAGCCAGGATTACCAGTTCGAAGCTGAAGCCACAGTAGATGTGAATGGAGATAGAGTGATGGAGGAGACAGGCATGACGAATAATGCTGGCCATTCAGAAGAGGCAGGAAGAGGTGGCCTTGTCCTGTACTCTGGTCCTCTCACATCTGGCCATAAGCCAAGAGGCCCTGGAGCCTGTGAAATGTCCTTCACTGAGGACAGAGCAGAGCAGGGCAGTATAGAGAGTAAGTCTGAGAGAACACAGCATAGCACTGCTTTCAAATTCAGCCTAGGTCAAATGAACAAAGTTCCCTGACCCATAGACACTGACTGAATTAAAGTGCTTGTCTCTGACTCGTTTCACATACTTCCACGATGTGTGTGTGTCTCTGTGTGTGTGTTTGTGTCTATGTCTGTGTCTGTGTCTGTGTATAGCACATTATAAACTCTTTCCTGATGGTACCTGTGCTATTTGGGGAAGGGCTTTTCATTTCATTCCTTCAGCGTCTAACACTGGTCATAGCCATTAGGGGGCACTAGATAAATGTTTGATGAAACCAAATGCTTGATTTTCAGCTTAGCATTGTGAGCAAGTCCATTTTATTTAGCGCTGATCTCTGAGGTGGCTTCACGGGTCAAGCCTAGCCCAGCCAGCACCTCTAATTACATGTCCAATTGCTGTTTGTCAAGAACCAACACCTCCCTGCCCTTCTCCCCTCTTACCCTCAAGCTGCTGTATTCAAGGAGCTATTCTTAGACATTAATTTAAGTAAAATAATTGTAGTTTAGAAAAGAAGGAATGGAACAAAAAACTAGCTAGAAAGTGGAATAAAAATCAAAGGGCGAAATTTGGGTTCTGAATCATTATGTAATTTGTTTGCCTCTTCCCTAAGGAAGTAATAGAAATTCCTGTTTGAAGAATTCATGTTGGGACTGGTAAGATGACTTACAGGGCAGAGGTGCTTCTGCACAGTCCAGAGACCTGAGTTCAATCTGCAGACCCCACAAGATGGCAGACGAGAACTGACTTCCAAGAGCTGCCCTCTGACCTCCACCGGCTTGCCATGGCATGCACATGCCTGCACACACACACACACACACACACACACACACACACACCAGATCAATTAATTACTTAGTTTTTAAAACAGAAAAAACTGTTGTTGACTGTTACCTGCATTATATGGGAATTCCAAAATGATTCAAGTGGAAAATGCAAGGAAATGACTTTTATCAGACAAGAATCTATAGTTAACAGAAGAATATAAACATGAATCTATTTGTATGTGGCAGAACTGGCTATAGGTTATGATCATACAGCTGTGAATAAGACAGATATCATGTACCTGTCTTCATGAAACACATTTCAACGGGAATATTATTGCACATGTAAGATATTTTCATGATACTGAAATGTGAAAATACAACAGAGTAGGCATTAGAATGATGTGGGGCAGGGATAGGAGAAGGGGCAGTTGGTTCTCAGAATCAAAGTATCTACACGTACATGGAAAACCTTTCTTGGATCTGAAAGCTAAAAATGTGCCCAGTCTCTGAAAGACACTAGCTTGCCCCACTGTTCAAAGTCAACCCAAGAACCACTTTACCCAGAAAATAAATAATTTTGAATCTGAGAAACAATAGGACTTATAGGAAAACAGCCTTTGCATGGGCTGGAGAATTTTCTCACAGAGAATTGCATGTATACATATATAATAATATCATGTATCATGTGTGCTCTAGAAAACTATCTCACTATGCAACACAGCACAAAAAAAAAATCACAAATCTTAGGACACACAGGAAACTGAGAACCCATATATAAAATATTTTTCATTTTTCATGCTTTGGAATAGTGCTTCTGAACATTTAAAAAAATACAGAACTCAATTGCAAGGTATTAACTTCATCAAAATGGTATTGTTTTGTTTGTTATTGCACACATTAAATAGTTAAGAAATATTCAAATAAAAAATAATTTGGAAAGGACCTTGGGTTTCCTTGTGCGGTGAGCACTGGGATACCTAAAGTTTATGAGTTATTGTGAAAGAGAAGAAAGACAATAATGTGATTTATCAGAATTGTGTTAGCTCCAAATGCTGCTGGTGTGGATGGTTATCCCATGGGGCAATGGAGGATTGGCGGTGACTGAACAGTGCATGCATGTGGTGTGTGTGTGTGTGTGTGTGTGTGTGTGTGTGTGTGTGTGTGTGAGTATATGTGTGTCTGTGTTTTGTCAGGTTTTACATACTGGTGTCTCCTGGGTAGTTTGTGTGTCCACTTAGTATTTCTTATTGACTAAAGCATACATAGACAAATTATTTGAAATGTTTTCCAATTATTTTCTAATGAATCAATTGTATGAAAACAAATTTGCATTTTCAAGAAAACATTTTGTAGCAATAAAGAATAATGCAATTGGTAGTTTACTAGTACTGTGTACTGGGTGTGGTAGCATACTGTAATCACAGTCCTCAGGAAACAGAGGCAGGGGCATTGCCAGTTGCTTGGGTTACATGAGGAAACCCACAAAAGCCAAAACAAAGATAAGGTAGTAGAGACTTGCTGGGAGAAGGAAGCAGTCCTATTTCACAGGAGAGGGAAGGGCAAAAAGCAAGCCACTGCCTATGTATCATCATTTCAGTCTGAGGCCTCTTGATGCAGGTCCAGCAGCCCCACCCATTTCTCCAGAGCTGGAGCAGCACACAGTCCCGCTATTCCCCAGTACTTCATTTTGGGAAACACGGATCTAGCCTGAAAATGATAAATTATTTTCAGACCTCCTTGTTAAAGAATAAAATGGCATGAAACACACATTTAAGAGGAACTCAATGACAGAATTATTGAGAATTATTGAGACTGATTATGACAGAATAAATATGACAAAATTATTGACAGAATTATATCTGAATTATTTAAAGACAAGCATTTTACAATCAAGCATTAGAAATATCTAATAATATTAATTAGAAATAATTCAAAATATCTAATAATAAAATCATGTCCTGAACAACACAAAGGTATTTCAACATAACCATGCATATGTACCTTGAATATGTACTAGAAGCAATTTTTAGACACAGGAAAGAGAGTTAATAAAGCACAAACTAGTTAAGACATCATAACAGAATGATATCTTAAACAAATAATTTTTATTAAAATTCTTTTTCTAAAGAATGCAAATTCTTATAAGATTTTAAGAGCAGAATTTAAAACTGTACAAAGCATGATAATAGTTGACAGAAAATATAGGGGTAAGAAATAGCTCAGTGATAGATTACTTACATGCCTAACATGCACAGTGCCCTGGATTCAATTCCAATTCTACCAAAAAATATATGTATATGTACACAAAGATATATGTAAGGATTAAATAAAAAGGCAAAAACCAACACCACAGGCTACTTCTAATTCCCGAAACTATGGATGCTTTCTATCTCTTCATCTTTGTCTGACCCAGTTTGCAAGTTGTTCAGAATCAGAAATGAGCATGAAGTTCTTACGCAATCACACAAAAGTTATTTTAAATAAACTCTAAAAGAAATACTTCTAAGAAAATCTATTTACCTATTAAATTAAATATGTAATTATAAACTGTGTGTGGTGTTCATAGGAAAATGCAGTTACTGAAAGCACGCTTTTATTATGCTTTGAAAACTAAAAAGTGAAATTTCTGTATGTCACTCTATCAGTTTCAATTCATACTGAGATTAAAATATTACTATGCTATTATAGTATCTGCAATTTAGTTCATGAACTTTCT